AAAAAAAAACATAAATGTATAATAATATTATTAAATTATAGTGTTACTGACGTTAAATAATAAATTTTATTTTAGCTCACACATCCGTTTTTTCATAGTGGATTTCGAATTCTTTACGGTTAGTAAAGAGGAAACATTATTGGTATCCGGGGCGATTTCAAATAGTCTAGAAAAATACCAGCCCAAGAAATTGGAAGGAAGTCCCCTTATACTTACAAAAGACGATAAGTTAAGGAGATTCCGGAAATGCGATCTTAAGAAAATAGTGCAAACAATCAAGCGGGTATTCCGAGGGAAAAAGGCAAGCGTGATTACACCACTGTTGGACCAGTTATACAAAAGTGTAAGCCATCCGGGGGAATCAACCTTGTCAACGGTTTACTTGCAAAGATATTTGCACATAGACAATAGGGATCCAATAATAGTTTTCTGGAATGGAACGACGGACATAACATTAATTAAACGATTAAGAATTAAGGGTATTGTAGCATTTTTAAATATATCAGCATATAGTATTAAAAATAATAACGAATTTAATTTAGAATTAACAAATTTAGAAACTAAAGAAGTTTTATATTCAGGGTATTTAGGGGAAATGAATAAAAATGGTAGAATGTTAGGATTATCGGAGGCGCATGGATTAATGTGTGAAACTAATCATAATATTACTTATTTTCATGATCCAGTTACCGATGTAGTTTTAACGAAATGTCTATTTAATTATGTTGTTTCAAAAATGAGACCCATATATTTATATAAGGTAGCGAAAAAATATAAAAAAAATTATTATAATCAGAATAAATGAATTATTATAGTTAATAAATAAGCCTTAGAAAATAAACTATATATATGGTTACGGTAAATAAATAATTTAACACTTGTAATATTATTTTAGATTCGTTGAAGAATTAAAAAACATAATAAAAACAGAAGTACATATCTATAACTTAAAAGAAAATAAGATGCAGTCAGTGTGTCTTAACAGGCATATATTGAAAGCCAACAAAAGATTAAATAACCGCTATGATCATAAAACTTTAAATAAAATAACAAGAAATCTTGAACTTTTTATAGATGATCACTGTAAGGGAGAATGTAAACATTTAGCAGAAATAATAGAAAAAACTAGGGACCCGAGTTATATAATATACTATCCTAAGTAAATTTTTGGTTGCATATGTGTATGACGATTTTAATAATTATTCATATAAATTTATTATATAAAATTAATTGGTGGAAGATAATAATTATTATATTGTAATCAAGGGGAAATACTAACGTTATACATTATATACTTACATTATATACTTACACTTTTAATATTGTAATTTCAGGTACAATACTGTATTATTATTTTTGAAGGACTATTGCTCCTTCTTACTAATACTAGTTATTTAGTAATTTATGTATTTTGTTCTAACTAACACTGTACTAATCACGATATATAACTTTTAATATATATAAAAAAAAATATGTAACAGTAATTATATATGACACTTAAAAATTGTAATGTCTACACTATATATCAAAATTGTAAACTGTTATAACAATTGTAATCAAATGTATGTCAAATTGTAGATCAACTATTGTGATTAATTAACTTAACTATGATTGTTAAAGATTCTTAACCCTTAAAGGTTAACAATCTTTTTTTTGGTGGGGAGGTGTAATGGGATTACGCAATTCATGTACAACGCTCACAATAACAAGTACTACTTATGTAGAAAGCGGCCTCGTCGACCACACCCAAAAGTGGTCATAGCTAGAATAAACGCTTCGTACAACAACAACTTCCAAGGGCGCCTACATGCTAAATTCAAAGGGCGTCGCCTTCGTATATTCGTATATATAGAGGCTAGGGCCTCAATACAAATTAGATGTACCAGAGCCGCCAAGACCGAGCGAGCCGCTTAGCCACCAGCCATCATACACAACTTACATGGAGATTATCGACTACTACAACGAGTCAACTCACGACGCTGCAATTCACCACGACTATATTAATTATTATTGGTTTTAATAAATTACAATTGATTTATATTTAAATTGACTACATTTTATTGTAAAAGTGCAACAAGCTTTTGGATCCCTGAAGGGCCGCATGTAACAATATACCAAAACCGCTTAACCTAATTCTAAATTAATAAATCTTTGGAAAATTTCATTGAGCGCCTATTGAAAACTATGATTTAAGTAACAGTGGATTGTTTCAAGTTTCAATGAATAATACTTTTTGAATAACCTAATTTTTTATTTTATAATTTATAATAATAATAATTTGGCATTGGATGTATCTAGATACTTATTTCTTTTTCGCAGTTATTATATGTGGTGGATCTTTAATATCCGATAGAAACATTCGTCTACTGTACTGTGGATTAATTATCTCTGGCAATAAACATTCTTGATCAAAACTGAAATAAAATCATAGTATAGTTACATGTTGATTATCCTTTTCATCTTAATATTTTATCTTCATTATATAATCTACTATTTATATATTACACTATTAGGTTACAATTTGTATAGCATAGAATTTAATTTTTAATATAATTTACAGATACTTACAGATCTAATTTTTTTTCCATTTGTAACCAAAAATCATGATCATACATCACGATTTCATGATAAGTCCATTTGTCAGAAAAAACGAAAAAGTGACATGACTTTTTTTTACAAATGTGCATCTGACCCTGAATCTGATAATAATAATTATTATCAGATTTTAATTTTATGTTTTCAGTGTGTTTGTCGTATTTTAAAAACGGCAACTAAAATTTAAAATTGTAAAAAAAAATCTAAAATACAATACAATTTAATTTAATATTATCATTTTTATAGGTACCTTTTTATCCTTCACAGCATCAATACAACTACAATAATCTTTGGCAGAATAGGGACATTTTATCTCAATTAATGAGTCATCTTCAATTATTAATCCATCTGAAAATATTATAAAACGTATTTAATAAGTATCTACGATTTAATTATTTAAATAAAATACAATTTATTTATTAAAAATTATATTACCAGGCGTGGCGGCAAAATAAGATGTATTTTCATCAATAAAAAGACCACAAGACATTATTTTTTTACCACTAATTTCTTCAAAATTTTTAATTGCTTGAGGTTCCATAGATTTTCCATACTCCGTGGCTTTAGTAGAAAATTGATGGTATAGTAAATTATAAACAAGTTTTTTACATGATGTCTGTGGTCTTCGTTTGCATATGTTACCAAAATTTGATGCTGTGAGACGGTTTCTTCTTACGGTTTCTTCGACATAACCTTCCATTACGTGGACACCGTGAACAGGGTAATTTTTCAGCAGAAGAAGTTAGACAAGCTTGCTTAAATGGTGAACAAGGAGTATTCCGAGGTCTTCTTTCATTTCTTATTGAATGTGGGGATACAGATCTATTGAAACATTTTGAGGGGGCACCTAAAAACTGCACTATGATCAGCCCACAAATACAAAATGAGGTAATTGATGCTATTGGAATTGTGGTTGAAAAAAAATTGTTGAAAGAGTTAAGCTTTCAACATTTTATTCAATTTTATGCGATGAGACTACTGACAGAAGTACAGTAGAACAAATGACAATTTGTGTGCGGTATGTTGATACTATAAATTTCATTATAAGAGAAGACTTTTTGGGATTTATTGAAATGACATCAACTACAGGAATGGCAATCAGAGATGCAATTAAATATAAACTAGAAGGGATTGGTCTGAGTATGGATAACCTTAGAGGCCAAGGATACGATGGTGGAGCTAACATGGCTGGTAAAAACAATGGTGTTCAAGCTTTAATTTCAAAAGAACAGCCACAAGCCTTCTACACTCACTGTTTTAGCCATTCACTGGACCTTTGTATTTCAAAAGCATGTGCAATTCATTCAATTAAAAACATGATGGGAGTAATTTCTGTGGTTTCATCTTTTTTTTCTGCATCTGCAAAACGCACAGAAAAACTAAAATCCATCATAGAAGCTGACATAACTGGTAATATTGAATCAAATAAACACAAAAAAACTAAACTTAAAAAACTCTGTGATACACGTTGGGTTGAACTACATAACTCCATAATTACATTTAAAGAGTTGTATGTATTTATAGTACTTGCAGTTGAAGATCTCCAAAGCGATGCCAACCAAGAAACTTCAAGTAAAGCAATGTTGTATTTAAATTCTGTGACCAACAGTAATTTTTTGGTATCTTTAGAAGTTTCAGCTGTTTGCTTTGCCTTTACTGTGCAACTAAGTATTGCTTTACAAAGCAAACAACAGGATCTATCAAAAGCGTTATCAGATGTGTTGGTTATAAAAAGGGCTCTGGAAAGTTTACGTGGTGAGGCAGATAATAAATTTAAACAAATATTTAATGACGTTGTCACAATGGGAAAAAGTGTAAATATTAAAATAAAAATGCCCCGAATATGTAAAAGACAAACTCAAAGAGTAAACGTTATTTCTGAAAATCCAGAAACATATTTTAAATGTTCTACTTTTATTCCTTTTCTTGACTATTTAATAGAATCAATGGATACTCGTTTTAATCAAAGGCTTACTGATGTTATGCCACTTGAAGGACTTATTCCGGCCAATTTAAATATGTACGATGATGAGAATATTATAAAAGCTGCTAAAATATATGGCCAAGATCTCCATGATGATACTCCATCTACACTCAGAGCTAAGCTGTTCATATGGAGGCAACAATGGAATCAAAATACTATTCCAAAACCGAATTCTGCTGTTGATTCACTCTCTCATTGCACCAATCTCCAACCTAACATTAAAATACTTTTGCAATTATTTGCCACGTTACCAGTTACTTCGTCCACTCCTGAAAGAACGTTTTCTGCACTTAATCGCTTAAAAAGTTATTTAAGAAGCACCATGTCGGAAAATCGACTGAATGGGTTAGCTATGGCTAATATAAATAAAAAAGAGAAATTTGATGAAAGTGAAATAATAACTGAATTCGCTCGAAATTCGCCCAAGAGGATGCAGCTATTAGAGTGGAGCAAGTGACTGAAATAAAAATAATTATTATTATTATTATAAATTATATTTTAATAAATATTTTTAAAACTAAACTAAAGTGCTGGAATAACATTTATTGACTTGGTAGGTGGGGGTGAATTCTCAAATCTTCTCTTATCTTAGATGCCCAAAAAAGTGTTTAGCCCTTCCCATTTAAAAATCCTGGCTACGCCACTGAAACGACGCATTGGACTCTGTAACTGTTGATAATTGGAAAAAATGTACCGATCACTGCCACAAACTGCAAGACGGTATTGAATATCTTATCATAATATATATGTATAGTTTATATTATGATGTTTTTTTATCGAATTATTTAAATAGTGTTTAAATAATCATTATACATGCCCAAGTGTTGTAGCTTAGTGGTTAACACGTTTGATTTAAATGTGTTCTTGGTCGGATTGAAACTAGTGGGAGAATGTGTGGCGCCCATATTCACCTACTAATTTCATCAGACTTTGAAGACGTTTACGGTAGATTGTATAGGTGGTTGCACACACCTATGCAATCTACTGAAAAACTGTCGTTGACCTGCTGAATAAAGCACTTGGGTAACTTCACTGCCCACGATACCTTTGCAGATATCTGTAAAAGAGTTCCGGCCTCCTTTTTTCCTAACGGGTATCTGCAAAGCTGGGAATGATTTTGTAAATTTTTTGCATTTTTTTCCGTTTTTTTCATCAAAATTATTAAAAATAATCTGGTCGTATAAGTCCTATATTTCATTTAATATTTGATATTATCAAGTCGGATCAACACAGATATGTTTTATAATATGCTTATCTACACTACATATTAAAAGTTTACCCCCGCTTCATATTTTTCATTTAAGTATAAATCCGTTGCTATTTATGTTAGAATTTTCATTTTTACATTAAACATTTTTGATTTTAATTCTTTATAAGTCACCCTCATAGTATCATAGTGTAAAATCGTTTTCAAAGATTTTTGGATTTTAATAACGCGTTAAATATTGACCATTTTTTAATAGGACAATTCTATTAAAAAATTTAATTAATAAATGGTCTAATAAAGTCGACTCCATAATAAGGGTACATATTTTAATATTTCCTAAATCTTGATGAACAATAATATCATAGAGATATTTTTCTGAAAATTTACCTGTTGTAATTATTAAATCATTAGTTTTTTTACAAATTTCAAGCCATGTTGGTGATTCTAGAATTTTAGAAGCATATGGCTTTCCATTTCCATCTCCACAAATATTGCGACAATGATCGACAATTAAAATATTTCCTTTAATTGGAATTTTATTTAGATTATATTTCATTATTTTAATATATTTTTTTTTATAGTATTCATATTTACGAAATTTAACAAAGATTTCATTATTTAATATTGATTTTTCTATTTCTTTTTGCATTTAATTTTTTTGTAAGTTATTAAAACCGTTTATAGTTGTTTCCATTATTTTATTATTTATTATATTTTTAATTTTTAAATTAATTTTTTCAATTTCTGTTTTATACATTTTGCAATTAAATATGTTATTTTTATTTTTTAATAGAACAATTCTATTAAAAATTAAATTATTAATATAGTTATATTCTAAGCATTTTGTGATCGGAATCTGTACCTCCCATACCAAGACAACATATTTTAATGTTTCCTAAATCTTGAACAACACAAATATCATGGAGATATTTGAAAAAATAAGTACCGGTTGTATTTATTAAATCATTAGCTATTTTACAAATTTCAAGCCATGTTGGCGATTCTAGTATTTAAGAAGCATAAGGCTTCCCTTTTCCAGAAATATTGTGTCCATGATCGACAATTAAAGTATTTCCTTTAATCGAAATTGTATTTAGATTATATTTCATGATTTTAATATTTTTTTTATTATTAGTATTATAGTATTCATATTTACAGAATTTAACAATGATTTCATTATTTAATAATGATTTTTCTATTTCGTTTTGCATTTCATTTTCTTGTAATTTATTAAAATCTTCGATAGTTGTTTCTATTATTTTTATTATTTATTATATTTTTAATTTTTAAATTAATTTTTTAAATTTCTTTTTAATACATTTTGCAATTAAATATAATATTTCGATTTTTATTTTTGATAGAACAATTCTATTAAAAAATATTTTAATTATTATTGCATTTCGATTTTAATTTTTAATAATTATGTGTTGCGAAAAATATTTTTATTATTATTTCATTTCATAAGTTTTTGCGAAAAATATTTTAAATTATTATTACATTTCAATTTTCTGATCTTTTTGCATATTGTTTTTTTTGTGATATTTTATTGATATAATATGAGCTGCGCCTTAAAGGTGCTACGCCAGGATTGGCATACATATACTACTGTGAGTAAAACAATTAATACAAATATGTCGATTATTATAATATACAATAATAATTATATGTGAAGATTTATATATTTAGTAAACTAAACCGATCTCTCAACCATTAATACAATATAAATTAATCAAGTAGTTCAGCGATTTAAAGTGTACAAAATATTATGAATATCGTGAGTAGGTACAGTGAAATTTACATATTAATAAACACAATACAAATAAAATAAAGTAAGTTTTCAACCATTAATACAGCCTTCATTAATTAACAGCGGTTCACAGTGATTTAGTATACAAAATGAATACATATTATGAACATAGTAAAATTGCTTATTAATGTTAAAACCAAGAAGAAAGAAATACAACTCTTAGTAAAATGTCAATTATCTAAATATTGTAAAAATACAATATATTATATATTTATATACAAACAGTAGTAATATAATAGTAATACAATTTACAGTGTACAATCTAATACTCTTTTAGTGAATAAAACAATTAATGTAATTAATACATTTTCCATTAATTTACAACAAACATAGTGAAATTGACTTATTAATGTTATTTACATCATATAATTTAGGTACATTAGAATCTTAAATTAATGTTCCATTACAAATAAAATACAACATTCAAATTAAATAAATTGTCTGCACTATTTATACAAATAACACAGACATTACATACATTGTTTGACATTAGTTACGGCCTCACATTATAGTGAATCCGCATCCAGAGAGAACCACGAGGAGGTTGACAAACTTTCTCTCCGTTTAGCCCGAAGGCAAGGTCATCACGAAGTACCTCCACACAGACCACGTAGAATAGTGGTATAACGTATTATGTTTGAAAAAACTGTTACACATGTTAGGTTTAAAGTCAACCAGACTATCATCGGGCGCATCACGTAGTACACAGACCAGTATAACAGCGGTGTAACGTATTATGTTTGAAAAATATGTTACATATGTTAGGTTTAAAGTCAACCAGACTATCACCATCATCTAGACTCGATCGTCGGACATCACCTAGAATATACTTACCACTTATTGCATCACAGAACTTCCCTGTACACGACGTTCTTGCTTCTTGATGACGAATCGCCCGCTGTCATCGGCGTACATGCCGACTCTCACGGACTGTGCGTTTCTCACCCTCGAAAACGCCACGTACAGCTGGCCGTGAGTGAACGGGGGTGACGTCAGTAGCAAACCTACCCTGTCGAACGTCTGACCTTGCGACTTGTTGATGGTCATGGCGAACGATAACCTCACCGGGAATTGAAGGCGTCGCAGTGAGATGGGCAGGTCGTCCTCGCTACTGGACGTGAGCGGTATCTTGGGCAGGACGATGTCGTCGTCCCGTGGGTCGCCGCCCAAAATTCTCGCCTTGAAATTGTGACGTCGCAGTTGGGTGACCACCAACCTCGTACCGTTGCACAGTCGTCTCCTCGGATCGAGATTTCAGCAACATCACGATGCACCCCACCTTCAACGTCAGCCGGAACGGCGGCAGGCCGTCCGGTTCCAAAGCGTTGAGGAACTCTGTGGGGAAATTGGCCACTTCGTCGGCCTCGTCCGTCATCATGGTGTCGACGCCGGTGTAGGTCATCTCTTCACCATCGACGCGCTCCAGCACGTCGCCGTTGACACTCCTACACACTTCGTTGGTGGGACGACACTGTCCGCTCTGCTAAATCATTTGACGGGGAACGCGAGTAAGTCTTCAACGGGGAGGTCCGAAGTCAGTAGAGGCGTTAAAACTCGAATTTTGAAAAAAATCGGAACATTTACGTTAAAAATGATAAGACGGAAGTGATAGCGAACGACGAAAAAAAAACGCGAAAAAAAAATTAATTTATCACGGCCGCCGCAAATTATCGTATATTCCCGGGGGCCGGGTTTGAACCCCTCGACCCTCGAGTCACCTGTCCTAACGCCTAACCTACCTAACTACCTACTGAGATGAAAACCTGAGTCAAATCTATGACTCTTAAGCCGCGTTGCCGTCCCCGCGAAAAACGAACGCCGTTTGGAAGAGGTTCAAAGGGAGTTTGAGCGGGCGATCCGACAGCGCCGGTTATAAATTTAGCGGGAACGCGAATAAGAACCAAACGGGGAGGGTGATACGACCGAAAGGGGCTGAAACTCGAATTTTCGAAAAAAAACGGCAAATGGAGCACGAAGCTCCCGGGTTTGGCGTCATCGGACAGGCCTAGCGGCCAGTCTTCCGACTACAACTACGGTCCTTATATTAGCACTAGGTGCTAGTCAAGGGCCGCAGAGGCATACGACCGCCAACCGACGGACCCTCCCCACACAGCTGCATGGCCAGAGGACCGCCGGAGACTGGCGACCGCACGTCGTCTAAGGACCACGAGCACCGGACGTTCACGGAGGAGTTCCCCGGCGCGCCCGTACCATCTGGCTAGGGCATACCGGTGCCTTTTGCCACCTTGGTGAGGCCGCAATCTATCCACTTTGCTTTCCGTTTTTGGTCACGGACAACCTTCGCTGTATATAGCTCCAACGATAAGCTGGGTGAGCGCTAAGGAGAGACCGTGCATTCCCGGCCGACTGTCGCTGTACGGGTCCACCCGGCCCAGTCACTCGGCAACTATCCCCTGACCAAGCGTGAGGTCTATAACCACATAGTATGCTCCTGCAAACTGCCACTTCGAAACCAATCCGCCGTTGGTCGAGGCAGTGTCCACCACGACCAACGTGTGAGGGCTCGGAGTTAATCACTCAACACCGAGGGGCCCCCTCACATCCCGAAGTACCATTCTCGCCTCCCGTAAGGTAAGGCACATCATTGGTGGGATGCTCGGACGAAGCTTCGTCGGCAGGTAGCCTCAGCTTATGGTCCTCCCGAGATTTGGGCCGTGTACCACGGGCTCACGGTGGGCCCCAGCTCCACCTCCGAGAGGCGTCACCAGGTGGCTAAGCCCAGTGACCGACCCGCTCTTCAAGAGGTCGCGGTCAGAACCTCAACCACGCCACAAAGGCGTCACCAGGTGGCTAAGCCCAGTGACCGACCCGCTCTTCCCGAGGTCGCGGTCAAAACCTCTCAACGCCCTAGTCCCCGAAGGTTTCGGTGCGTCCGCGCCCCTGGCGCCGACCCCGACTGGTCAAGCTCTCTTATAGTCGCCTTGTACGACAAGCAGGGAATACTGATGCGGAATTCTGTACGGCCCCCGCAACAGGGCCGAGCAACACGTCCCTGACGTATGAGCACGACCCGGGCCAGAACGCGCTCGAGCGTGTTCCCCCGTTTCTGCCACTTGCGCCATACGTGCTCATCGGGAACACCCCGAGACTATGCCTTCCGTCGTAGACGGGGCAGCGTCCTGACCCATAGGGTTAGCAACCCTTTCAATTCGTACTTTGAATCATTCTATCCGTGAGTCGTTTATCTGTCCGTGCGATTTGTAAGAGCTTCTCTTGAAAAAGTTACCAAAGCCTCATAAGTGGCCTTAGACTTGAGGAAGGCCCCATCAGCCGGTGGCCAAGAAACGCCTTCGTCACTGAGGGTGCTTTTTAGTTTTTTGCGGGCATTCTTCGTACGTGGGCAAAACCTGAGCACATAGTCACATTGGGTCGTGTAGTGATCCAGCTTCATCGGAAGATTGAACCTATGTCTTACCGATGGAATCATTTTTTGGACCAGTTACCCTTGGGCAGGGTGTCGTATCTGAGTTGCCATTCGTTAAAGAGATCATCTACACTTCCGTCGAATGCGGCGTTTGTAATCTCCTGTTTACGCTTCTTCTGTGTTAGGACGTGCATTCTTATTTCAAGGTCTAATGGCATAGTACCTGCGACTGTTGGAAGGCAGTTTGTAGACACGGTGTTGTAGGCACCGGTCATCGCCAGGAGGGGAGCTCTCTGGGCGCTTAGTAGTTTCTTTTTGCTTTTTTCCAGTCTAGTACCTGAAGACCAAATTTCAGCTGCGTAAGTGACGAGGTAAGAAGACTCCCCTGTAGATTGTCCTGGCCGCAAGTTGGCCCATGCCCCAGTTCGCGGAGCGGAGTCTTCTCATGCGACCGTACATGTCTCGCGATTTTTGGCTTACATACTCGATGTGATCCCAGAAGCTCCGTCTCGGGTCCAGGTACACCCCGAGGTATTTGGCCGTGGCCGAGGATACGATTAAAGGAGCGTCTGCTCTCGTCCCGAAGCGAACGCTGTAGCCAGGTTTAAGACCGCCTTTAAGTGATAGGAGTTGACTTTTACTGGCGGAAAATTCAAGGCCGAACGTAAAGGCCCAATTGTTTAGAAGGTCCAAGTGTTTTTCAATCCGCTGGAAGGCTGTTGTAGGCCTAGCGGCGCCAACCATTAGCAGAATGTCGTCTGCGTAGGTAATTATTTTGGTCGTGCTGGTGTCAGGTAACATGCCGTATATGGGTGTCATTGCTATTTTCCAGAGGGTAGGACCCAACTGTGATCCCTGAGGGCAACCCCTAGCGAGCATCCTCCGGTAGTGGATGCCCTCAAGTTCCAGGTCCGCCCACCTGTTGCGGAGGTACGATATCACGATTTTTGATGTTTTAAGCGAGGCGCCCAGACGCTGCATTTGCAAGAGCAATGGCGACCATTTTACATTGTCAAATGCGCCGGTAATGTCAAGGAATGTCCCGAATATGTGCCGTGATTTGGACGCATCGATGCGCTCATGTAAGCTACGGAGAGCACTGACCGTGGACTTACCAGCGGTGAAGCCATGTTGTGCCGCGAAGGAGTCCAAATTTGTCTCAAGCCCTATCCTCTTTATGATGAGGGTCTCAAGTGCCTTGCCTAGTGCCGGAAGTAGGCTAATAGGTCTGAAGGACTTAACATTACACGAGTCTGAGCGGCCCGGTTTGGAGATAATGATCAACTTGGCAATCTTCCAGCAGTCAGGAAAGATTCCATCGTGAAGAAATCTGCCGAACAGGTAAGTGATGGATTCACGGAGGGCAGGCCAGGCTTTCCTCAGTATGCCTGCAGTAATACCATCTGCGCCAGGTGCACCGGTAGGCCGCATTCGCCATATGGCCGCTTTGATATCGACTGGGCTAGGAAGGTCACTGATTTGTGAAGGACCATGGAGATCCATGTCACATCGGGCCTGATCGGGGTCTGCTGGGACGAAAGTATTCAGCAGGAGTTCAGCTGTCTCACTACAGTCGGATGTGAGCGATCCGTCCGGTTTGGTCATGTTACTTGGTATATTATGCATACAGTAACTGCCTTTTGCCCACTTGAATGCTTTGCACCACGGATTAGCATTCATTTCGCCGGCGAAGCACTTCCAAGCGGCTAGTTTGTGTTTCTTTATTTCAGACAGGAAGTCATTCCGTAGCCTGTTGTACGCTTGTCTGTCAATGGTCCGGAGTCCTTCTCGTCACTTACGGGCAAGGGTTTGCCGGAGGGTGGAGAGTATGGGCGACCACCAGATGTTTTTACCTGAGGTACCACCGGGTTTTTTGCGCTGGATAGCGCGGTCAGCGGCTGTGGCAAGCACACGGTTTATGCCCAAGGCCGTGGATTCTATCGAGCATTCGGCGATGCTGCCGATTTCACTAAGGAGCGTGGTGTGGAACAGATCCCAGTCGGCAGTTCTTGTATCATACCGTTTATCAAGTGACGTGGGTTTCACCATACCGTTCACTTTCATAGTGAAAGCAATAACCCTATGATCGCTGTCAGTTAGGTCACTGACAGACCAGTTACCAATGCAATTACTGATGTTGCTTGTAGACAAGGTTACATCGATGTTTGAGGAGCGGTTGTCTCGGCGGCAGAAAGTGTTAATCTGACCCGCGGCGTTGTGTATTTTAAGGTCGTGATTGTCAATAAATTGTTCGTTAAGTCTGCCACGGCGAGTTCTCGAAACCGAGTGCCAGCGAGGTGAGTGGCCGTTAGTGTCTGCAGCTATAATGACTCTGTTGTCAGCCAGAAGGATTTGATTCAACCGTTCCAAGTGGATGGTTGTCGGCTCGCTGTACTTGAAGTACGCAGAAGCCAGAATCACATAATCACAGGGCCTTTTGCCGTATGTAACCTTTACAGATGCCGCGTGGTTGGATGTATGAGTGCTGAGGGTAATGCATTGAAAGCGGTCTGTCAGGACGATGACAGCTGCGCCCGATTTTTTGCTTATGTGGCTTTGCATCTTTCAAAGGCGTATATTTTTCCGTTATTGACCAGTGGTTCCTGTACTAATAGGAAGTCGACTTTCAGATTTTTACAGGCTACGCGGAGTTGGTGGGAGGCCGTGCGGTCCCGATTCAGGTTGTGCTGAAGTATTTTAATTTTGCTGTTATTCATTAGTAAGGGACGGCACCGTTGACCTCTGTGGTGGGCATGTACTCCCAAAGTCAGTCTGGCGGGTGAGGCGCAGGATTGCGGCTGTTCTAGCCGGGCACTTTGCTGAAGCCGCGGCAAATGGAGCAGTCATATAGTCGTACTATTTTTTAATATAGTTTATTAATATCGTATTAAACAGTATTTATAATCTGTAGCAATATTTAACCCAATCGGAATCACCTAAAAACTGTAATATATCAAGTAGGTACTACATTACAATTATATTGTAGGTTGATCACTTTAAAATCAAGTATTAATTAAATGTTAATTATTATTTTTTTGCAAAATAAATATATATAAATACCGATATATATAATATTATAATAACGCGAATTTTGAAAAAAATCGGAACACATGATTAATGTGACCAAAAAAAAAAAAAAAAAGCGAAAAAAATTCCAATTATCACGGGACCGCAAATTATCTATTGTCCTGGCGGCGGTTTCGAAACCACTACCCTCGAGTCACCTCACCTAACGCCTAACCAACCTAGCCACCTACTCAGATGAAATTCCGAGGCAAATGTATGACTGTTAAGCCGCGTCGCCGTGCTCGCGGCGATAAAATAAAATTCTTATCACTTTCCTTATCAATAAAAAAACAATATTTAAGAAAATCCCAATAAATCCTTTCAAAAACTCAAAACCCCGAGTTTCCCCTTGGCGAGGTGGGTGTTAGTACTCTCCCGGACCAAAATCCATCAAAAAAGCAAAATCCAAAAGGGGGGAGGAGGTGCCCCCGTTCCCTAAAGCGGAAAACGGTAGTCTTCATAATAAGAATGGGTTCCCCCTTGGTCCGAGGTCTTTAACTTGAATTCCGGCCGAGTTACACTCAACTCAAAATGTGGGGGGGGGGGTGGTGGCTTTGGTTCTCTAATGTTGAAAATTCATCTGGGGCCTAAAAAATTGATATGCCCATTGGTCCGGGGTCTCTAAGTCAAATACCGGCTAAGTTATGCTTCGTCAAAAATAAATACTCGTTTAATGGGTCCCCCCCACTCCGCCCGACGATCGCGGGGTAATGGCACATTTTTCCGTGCGTGCAGCCGACTCCATCGTTTTATAAGACGTTATCACGTCAAAAAATTGAAAAACGCAGGTTTTTGAATTTTTGAATCTCGAGCACTTGAACCGTTTCTGAATTTTTCGTTTTACATACCTATTATATTACACACTGAAATATCCCAATTTTCATAATATATAGAAATACGGAATAATAATAATAATAATGTTCGAAAATATTCGTCGATAAGGAATAGGGAGATAAGCGAGCGGAATTTATAGCGAACGCGCGGGAAGTATTGTGATTGGTCGTCATGGAAGAAACGCGGAGTGCCGTCAGCGCTCCCCGCGGATCTTATACGCGTTATTAGCGTTTTATTATATAAGACTAGCTCTCCGAGCGTAGCTGGGGGACACCCCCAGACCCCCGTGACCGGGCCCCAAGTGTTGTCGATTTCGGAAGCAGCGGTGGTCTCATGGTGCGGTCGTGGGTCTCAGCCGACACGGTGTATGGGGGATGAGGAGGTATGGTGATAAGGATGTGTGATAAGACTAGGACCACTGCGGTTCGACGTGGTAGCCCGTGGTAGCCAGGGCAGAGTCTTTGACGGAGTCTTTTCGACGACGCCGCCAGAAATTCGAAATTTGATAAAAAAATAATATAGTAATTTTTGTGGGTATCTAGCAGTTCGGTCACCTAGGGTGACGTTCGCCGTAGTAATAGTATTTGGGGTCTAGCGGGTCAGTCACGTTCCTCGACTTTGGTCGTAGTCACCCTTTAAGACAATATTCGACGGTCGGGGCACGTCATCACGTATGCAATCCGACTGCGTCGAATCGCGGACGACGTTCATTACTGTTACCGAAAAAGGAAAAAAAGTAATAAATTACTTGAAAAGTATTTAAAAAATTTCCGACGTCCATGCAAATCATATAGCCGCCGTATTTTTTAGGGTGTCTAGCAGGTCAGTCACCTCGAATGACATTCGCTATAATAATAGGAGTAGGCTATCCGACTTGGACGGATAGCGGACAATGTTCGACGGCCGGGTCACGTCATCACGTACCTATGCAATCCGACTGCGTCGAATCGCGGACGACGTTCATTACTGTTACCGAAAACTCAAAATTAAAGGATAAATTACGTGAAGAAAATTCAAAATATTTCGCTTGTCCATTCAAATCATATGGCCACCGTCTGATTTTTCGGTGTCTAGCAGGTCAGTCATCTATGTTATCCGGGTAGGCAATGTGCGGCCGGGACAGCGTCCATTGCAGTCACCGACAACGCAAAATTAAGTTATGAAATACGTGAAAAAAAATTCAAAACATTTCGTAAGCAATCCGACTACCGAGTCACCTTCCTCGACGTAATTACGCGAAAATATGTTTTAGGGTCTAGCGTCGGATAGCGGACAACGTGTGACTTCTGACCCAAAATTAAGTAAAGAAATTGGTATATGTTTTGGTGTCTAGCAGGTCAGTCACCTTCCTCGACGTTGGACGTAGCAACCCTGGTAGGCAATCTGACTTCGTCGGATAGTGCGACGTCCGTGTCAAGGCATGAAAACGCCAAATGACGTAAATCAAATGTATACAAATAATAATAACATTTCGGGCGCCCGTGCTAGTCATAATATAGTCGCCGTGATTTGTTGAGTGTCTAGCACAGTAGTTCTCAACCGGGGTGACATGGGCCTAGCTTAGGGGTGATGCAGAATTTAAACAAGAAAAGAAAAAAAAATTATAAAAATTAATTTTTTCGAAAACAATCTTATTATTTCTTATAATAAATATATTATACACCTATACCACCACTGTCATGTACATAACATACCTCAAAGTTCGTATCTTTATAATATTTTGTATTATTTATATTTAATCTTTTGGTCCGATAAACACGTGTAGGTACCTAGTTAGGGTGACGCAGTGTTTGATTCTAGTGGCTAAAGGTGACATGAATCAAAAAAGGTTGAGAACTACTGGTCTAGCAAGTCGGGCGGCCACGTTTAATAGTTTTTGTCGTTTATAGTAGGTAGTAGAGCGATTTAGAAGCGAAACTCGATAAGCTGATTGGGATTTTGTTTCCCCATGATCCTCCGAAAAACACTAAAACGTTTCCGTTAATCATATTTATATGACGAAAAAAAAAGTCGAACTTTTCGTCGCATATTTTCATTTCCGTAAATAGTAATAACGACACAGTCCGCTCTCCGATGTCCTCCGCGGCACTCGACTCGAGCGAAGTACTGACTTATACATTTGGCGGGGAACGCGAATAAGCCTTCGACGGTAAAACTCGAAAAAATCGTAAAATGTTCGTTATATTATGATGAGGCTGAAGTGAAATCGAAAAGTAATAATAAAGAAAAAAGTGAAAAAAAAATTCCGGCAGCAGTGTTACCTACCTACTGAGTTCAGAACGCGATATTCGAGAAAAAAAAAGGAACCTTCGACGCATGCATTTCGATGCCTGTATATAGTAACACCTATACTCGACGGTGGTCGAGTAAATGTAGAGGGGGACGCGAATAAGCCATCAACTGGGATTGCAGAAGTGTCAAAAAGGGCTAAAACTGGAATTTTAGAAAAAAAACGGCAAAAAACGACGCGACGCATATATTTAGCGTTACCTACTCTCGTTTCTGAAAAAGCAGGGCCGCGAGCCGGCTGTAAATTTAGCGGGGAACGCGAATAAGATCCAAACGGGGAGGGCGATACGACCGAAACGGGCTAAAACTCGAATTTTTGAAAAAAACTGAAAAAAAAAGAAAATCGAAGTTTTCGACGCACATATTCACGCCCGTGTATAGTAATAAATAGTATCAAAGACTGCTTTGACGGGGAACGCAAATAAGTCTTCGAAGTCCGTAGAGGCGGTAAAATTCGAATTTAAAAAAAAAACCGAACATTTTCGTTAAAT